TGTGCACATAGCCCCTATGGGACTTTTGTTGTGCCATTTCAGATCATTTTCTAAAACACATAGCCCCTATGGGACTTTTGTTGTGTTTTGAATACCCTTTGCGTGATAAGGAGTCAATTTAGAGCTTTGCTCTTTTGTATTGACTTTGTGTCCTTGTGTAAAGTCTTCCCCCAAACTTGTATATGACAATGTCCTCATTGGTGTTTYGTGGGGTAATATTGTGTTTAAAGGGTGCAAGTGGCTAGCATGAGTGTAGAAAAGATGGCCTATGTCATTTCCGTAAGGTGATTGTGTGAGCAAAGTGTTGTCCCAAAAAGGGTGTTGCTAGTTCTAGTCAAAAACAAAGTTBCATGATCAAATGATAAACAATCACTAAAATTATTCGGGCTATGATCTCATGTGTTAACAGGTCTCAAGTGAAATGATCATGCGTAAAAATAAGACTAGAAATTATAAAAAACTATTCCCGACGCAAAAAAAAATTAAAATATGAAGCGAAAGTGGGATGGTAGAACCTGTCCTACTCCGAAGGAGTAGGCTGTGTGCTCCGGGCAGCCACGGATGCAATCTGTGTCCTCAGTCTTTCAGTCTCCGTCTTGTATTTGTTCAGCTTTTTCTGCATCTTCCTCATCTTGTCAGCTACCTCAGTCTCCAGGCCTTCTTTCAGCTTCTCAAACCGCTTCTTCATTCTCCTCTCACTTGCCTTTAATCTGCGTGTCAAATCAGCCTGCATTGCTTCTAACCTCTCTGTCATCTCGGTCCGCTGCTCTATCAAGAAGTCCATTATRCTTCCACTTTGCTCTAAGAGCTCATCCATAGCTCGAACCATATCTGGCCCTTCCCGGTTTCTCTCACTCCGTTCTCTCAGCCGTGAAACAGCTTTCATATCTATGGTCCATTTCTCCTCACACTCTTTAATGACCAAGTCATCAGTATATTCCGGAACACCCGCATGCATAAGCAGTTTGTGAATCAGGCCAGGGAAAAAGAGCTTCCCTTGTCTTCTTTTGGCACAATACATAATRGCCTTTTCCACAACATCTCCCACATTTATTGTTTTACCCGTGATCAGACAGTATAACAGGATGATCCTCTCAACCGAAATGGAACTATCGTGGGTAGTTGGGTTGAGGGAATACCGAATGAAATTCATCCAAACATTGGCATCGGGCTTTAAATTTGAAGCCCTATAGGTCCTTAACATGTAATTGGTGTGGTCGTTCCATCCCGTCCCGACCTTTCCCAACTCTCTACCGATTTCCTCTAGCTGGGCAAACGAGGCTGTTTTAGAAAGTGTGTCAAATTCGGTTTCAGCCGGTGGTGTTAGACCCAAAAGTCTATTGATGGCCTTGGCCGAAATGCTAACCTTAACACCCCGAACTCTGATCTTAGTGGTGCTAAAAATAAAGGCCTCAGCGTAAAACTCCTTTATCAAAGACAGATTAAAGGAATTTTTCACCTCACACAGTGCCTGCCANAAAATAAATTGCGGAAAGTAAACGACAATAAAGTAAATGACGGGAATGTAAATGACGAGAATGTAAATAGCGTAAAATAAATGACGGAATGTAAATAGCGTAATGTAAATGACGGAAATGTAAAGACGAGAAAATAAATAGCGGAAAATAAAAGACAAGAAATTAAATAAGTAAAAAGATGAAGATGAACTTTGAAGAACTTGAAGAAGGATGAAAAGAAAAGAAAGAAAAGTTGGGAGGAAGTGGGAGGAGATTAGAGAGAATCCAATGGATTTCTTAATTCAAGTGTGTGTTACAAAGGAGCCTAAGCCTCCTATTTATACCCAAAAATGGGGACAAAAAGACAAAATACCAAAGCTTAGAGGCTAAGACAACTTCAAACTAGTTACAACATAATTAAGGTTCAACTAAGAAGTACAATACTTGGTTAAAGTTTAACTAAGAGGTACAAAGGCTAACTAGAGAGTAAAAATCAGATTTCTTCCAAAAATACAGCCCAAATACAGCTGTTTTCCATCTCCAAAAAGTCAGCACATTGTCTATTATGCCCTCCAAAAAGTAGTGCAAGATCCAGGTCAATGCTGTACCAATGCTGCAGCACCTGCTGTTATCACAAAAACTCCAAATTAGCTTAAATTATGCATACCAACAAGTTAACCACAACATTTAGCTTCAATATAACAAAGGTATAAAGAAATAAATGAAAATGATTCAATTTGGGAATGAAAAGAAATTAAAGTAACTAAAAAGTCCTAAAAAGAGCGTGTTATGCGTTAAATTCTCAACACATATCAACAATATATATATATATATATATGTATATGTATGTATGTATATGTATGTATGCATGTATGGACCCATTCAAGAAAGAATTGGTTAGTTTGTGGTAATCGTGAGATCCAATGTGAACTACTCGTTTGAGGTATTTAAGGATATATTTTTTAAATAAGCTAAAACGGTAATATAATAATTCTATTTTTGACAAGTAATCAAAATATTTAATTAAATTTTTTAGAAGGAAATATTTAATTAAAATTAGTTATCTAGTGTATATCAATTACCTAATATACATCGTATTTTAAAGACATTTGTGAACAAAGTGTATCATAGTGATAACGTTCACAATGTTTCATGTGTATCACAATTTATTTTATTTGTTTTATGAAATGTATCATCATGTGCATTTTCGTTATTTTTATTGCTTTACAAAGGATATCACATTGTGCATCTTGTATGTATATGCGAGTATCACAGTGAATATCGTTTGTAGGTATCACAATGTGTATCTTGTATTCACATAAGGTTCATCTGAATAAGGTTTGTCGGATAAGATTTGTCAAAGAGAGGAAAGAGGTAGGATGAGAGGGGATATTTATAAGATCCCTAAAATGCCCTTATTTAATATTTTAAGTTAAAATTACCAAAATTATTAATTTTCTAATCTAACATTGATTTGTGGTTGAGATTGGATCTCATTGTTACCACAAATAAAACAATTTTCATTTGATTAGGCCCATATATATAATTACCATGTAACTAATCTTTTATAAAAAGAAGCTCTCACAATAAAGTAGATGACGAGGGGAAGTTCACGGTCAAAAAACCGAAAACTTTGGTCTAGGAGAAATGTTGCACAAACAGTGTTCCTATTTCAGAAACTCGTTGGAATAAGCTTGTACGAAGAAAGATCAACATCTCTTTATATGGCGTGCTATCCATGATCAATGAAGACCCCGAGAAGATAGATATGTTAGTTGTTCGATTGCTAGAAAGGTATGGGCTCTATTTTGAAAATGGTGGAACATTGATGTCGAATTTGATTGCTTCACGTCCGAGTTGCTAAATTTCTAAAGGGGTCCTTCATTTTCTCCATGGTTAAATCATGTCCTACACGCTTCTTTTTGGGCTACCTGCTACTTACTTTGGAACCACCGTAACAACACAATCTTCAGGAACAATTCGGACTCTGTCGAGATGCTCTTTGTTGAGATGCAAGTCTGAACTTTTGAATTGGCGTCGAAACGAGCCGGTAAAGGTAACACTTCTTGGGGATTGTGGCTCGAGAATTATTAATATTTAATTAAATTATAGTTTTATTTTTATGTAATAAGATGTCACTTATAAAATTGAATAATCAAAATTATAAATGACACTGTATAGTGTGATTTGATAAAAATGAAAACGGAAAAAATCTAAACCATACTTTACGGTACATAAATTCTAAATAATTTATAAAGTGAAGGGTTAGAAATTGAGTCAAAATTTATTGTTGAAAAGTGTAAAAAAAGATTGTGCATATTGGCCAAATAATATTTCAATTTCTTCATCAACGATCAACATTCAACATTCAACATTCAACATTCAACATTAGATAGTGACAAGTTTGAATGTAGATAAACCATCAGAGTGGTGCTTGATTGGTTTGAGCTTCTCATCCAAAGGTCAAAAGTACCAGGAGATCCCAAGTTCAAATCTAATAAGAAATAAAAATTCCCTTGTGGCCACGGAGGTTAAAATGCGGTGACTCCGAATTATCTGCAAAGCAGGTGATCGTCTTGAAATTAGTCGGCTCACATAACGGGTTAGATATCCAAAGTTATTAAAAAAAGTTTGAATGTAAATTTGGTGTCTTTTAAAAGTCACAATGTTTAATGTAAATTTAAAGCTGTCAAAGTCAACTTTCCAAAATATTAATTATAATAAGACAAATATACTCTAATGAAAGCCAAGTTGTTAATTTTAAAAATAAATTACAAAACATCGCCATTACGACTGTTGCCTTCACCCCCCACCACCACCGTCATCACTACTCCATCCACCGTCACTAACGGCGCTGCCACCCCTCCGACATAGTCACCACCACTATCGCTGTCACCGCTACCTCCAACACCGCCATCATGGTCGTTACACCAATGTCGCCTTCACCCCCACCACCCTCCCCACCATCTCCACCACCACCACTACCATATACGCCATTACCGCCTACACCGCACCCCTACTTTATTCAGCAAACTAAATAGACAGATTCAAATTCTTTTGACCTATTCCATTACAATTTTCTTTAGGTTCTAATTCCTTTGACAGATTCTGATTGTAACAGATTTATTATGTGAATCAAATGCCACCTTAAAATCTTCAAAGAAACAACACAACTGAAAATAAAAACATGAAAAAAAAATTAGAAAAAAATAATATAATATTGATTAGATGCTTAATTACTTGATTAAATAGTTCCACAATTATATAATATCATATCAATAAAATAAAATAATGTCACAGAACAAAAGGAAATGACCTGGTCATTATATACTATAATATCAATAAAATAAAATAATGTCATACATCAAAAGTAAAGACCTGGTCGTTATATGTGAACCCTTCCAAATAAAATTATATTGTTCATAGATCATGGACTCAAATAAGTAGAAAAAATCCACCATTTTTTCAAATCCTCTTATTATATATATACATAAACCCCTCCAATGGTTATTTATCACAAATAAATGAAGTTATTCTGGTTACTTATGATCTTGCTCGCGTTAGCAACATCATCAACAGCGGTCCCGTATTACGCCAAGCGAGGATGCAACGATACGTGCGGGCAAGTGAGGATTCCATACCCTTTCGAAATCGGAGAAAACTGTTCCGTGAATAGATGGTACACAGTTGACTGCAACTCCTCCACACCATATCTATCTGCACTCAACGATCTGGAGGTATTGCGCATAAACTTGGATAACCAAACAGTAACTGTTAATGTCTCAATGATCTCTGATTGCCGGAATCCAGTCCGGAATAGCAGCCAAATCTTGAACGTCAACCTTGATGGGAGTCCGTTTCTGTTTTCCCGACGTTACAACAAATTTGTTGTGCAGGGATGTGGTAACGCTGTCATCTTGGACGAAGGGAGTACGCTCACCGGGTGTTCAACGACTTGTCCAAATGATTCCGTTAGCGAAATTATAAGCAACTGTGTTGGCATCAATTGTTGCCAAACAACAATCCCTTATAATCTGAAGTCGTATAGCATGAATCTGACGAGTTTAGAAAGGCAGGTGGGTGGAGATGCAGTTTGTGGGTGGGCTCTCTTGATGGATGAGAATTCACAAGTCCGATCTCTTGCGAAGAACATCTCTCATGTTCCAATATCACTTTTGTGGACCCTAACAGACCGTGACTCGTCTCTAATTTATTGTTGTTTTGTAAAGGATAATGTCAAAGTGGATGTTGGCAATGGTAAATCAATTATGTCGTATAAATGCCGCAGTTTCAACGATTATTACGAAGGAAATTATTATATACGAGATGGATGTGATGGTATGTGATTTTGTATTTAATTTTTGTGTGTTTTATCTCTAACATGATGTATATTTTCTCTTATATGATGTGCCTTTAGTTAGCCAAGAATGTCAAAGGTGTATATCTGATGGCGGTTCATGTAGCAATAACAATACTGAATATCATGAAGATGGCTTAGTTAGCAAGGAAAACTGGAAATGTATGTACTGGGGATCAGTAGTTGAAGAAAAAAAGTCTCGGGCTGTTATTCTAGGTAAGGTAATCCCTGTTCTTTTGTTTAATATATACACATTCTTGACTTACCAATTCAAATTCGTATTAATTATATTTGTAAACACGTGACACTATAACAAATTAAAATCATATTTATTAGAACAATATAAATGTCAAAATACCACAGTAGACTAATATTTTTTAGGGAAAATTACAATAAAAATCAATGGACTTTCTTGTTTGGAATGATTAAGTCCTTAGACTTTTTTTTGGAACAAATAAGTCCTTGGACATTCCAAAACATGTTAAATAAGTCCTTGGACAATTTTTTGGAACAAATAAGTCCTTGGACATTCCAAAAAATGTTAAATAACTCATTGGACAGTTTTTGGAACAAATAAGTCCTTGAACAATCCAAAACATGTTAAATAACTTCTTGAACTTTTATAAAACATGTTGGATACATTCTTATGACTTGTACAACTAGTTAAAGTGGTAAAATATTGAAAAAAATCGGGAAAAAACCCAATGAACATTCATATTTTGAACGATTAAG